TTTATTTTTTTTTAATTAAATTAATGTTAAGTTGTTGATTGCAACTAAAAGGTGATTTTTTAAGTGTGTCCAAACTTCTGACAAGTGTCGCTGTCAAACAAACTGTCAATTTTTATGTATCTAGACACTAAGTTACTCAGTATAGTCTGGCAAATCATCATTGAACGTTTAACGCTTACAAATTGTCGAAATTTACCATCAAAACCATTGTTTTGTGCGCCAAACTTATCATGCTCTTCGTGAATTTTATGGTATACATACGTCCAATCCAGTGATGTAGTCGCCGAATCATCAACAAATTTCGAAAGAATTTCACGCTGTTAGATATTACTTAAAATAAAGACAAGAACAAAAACAGTGCGTTTCCAAAATATATTATCGCTGTTGCCGACAGTGATGAGAAAGACCCAAATTTGTCAATTCGTCGACTTTCGCAGAAAGTTGGGCTTTGTTATTGGACTACGTGAGAAATTTTGCGGAAATATCTTTATTTTCTTTGGGGTAATGTTTAAACCTTTGGTATATTTAAATAAACCAGCAACTATTTAAGACTTGGAAGCTAACATAACTCGGACAATTGCGTAAATAAGACCTAAATTGCTTGATAAAGTGGTCGGAAATTGGATTAATAGAATTCGCTTTGTTACAAGTAGCCGCGGAGGACATTTGTCCGAAATTATTTTTAAACAATAATGTCATTGCATGTTATTTCATATAAAATAAATATTTTTAAGATATTTAATTTGATTGTTTTTTAATTTGAATTTAAAGTTCGGACACTAAAAAAATCACCCTTTATTTAAAAAAAATCAATTTTTCCCAAAAAATACATTTTTTAAGGCCTGGTTTTTTCCCAATTTTTTCGTTTTTTTTCGGCACTTTAAAACCCTAGTATAGGTATAAATATTTCAGGACCCAGCTTTACCATAAAATATAAACCGATTTAAAAAAATACCCCGGAGATTTTAACTTTTTAAAGAATAACATGATAGAAAAAAAAAACAAAATATAAAGTCAAAACTAAAAAAGATTTTTAAGATTTTGGTCTCGGGAGCCCCTAGCTGCAACCCATCAGGAATTAGAAAGAAAAAATGTTATATAATTACATTAAATAATGGTTTATCTTAGACTGACATGAGTGGGCCCCTTGATTTTTAAAATTTAAATGATTAACACGTTCAAATATAAGTATAAGTTTGATGGAAAAAGCTTGTAATCAATTTTTATATCCCTGATTACATTAAGAGTGTTGCGAAGGACTTGCTAAGAGGATCTACTAACTAATTTAAAATAACAAAACCTCCGGCGGGTTTAGTCCGCCACTGCCACGCATGGATTTGTATTTTATTTTGGAATGCAAAAAAGGACTGGACTGTGCAATTTTAGTGAATTACAATGCTTTATTGTTGGCCTTTTTTTAATTATGTTGTAATATAATAAATTTTTATTATTACATATTTTTAGAGATGGGAAAATTCCCATTTGACGAAAATTCCCGGAAACTTTCCATCGGAAATTCCCGAAATTTTCCGAAAGTTTAAAAAAAAAATTTTTATTGCGAAAATATTTTTTTTTATGCCAGGGATTTTCAAAAATATATAACACATTAACTTTTTGTCAAATTTTATTAATAAAAAAAATGTTAATAAGAATGTAACTGCAATACTATTTTTAGTATCTTTTACTTTGGAATAGGTATTCCTATTGTATACTGAAACCTACAAAATAAAAATAAAATGTTTACTACTAGAAATTCACTGCTAGTAAATCTAGTAGATATTACGTAAAAAAAATTAAAAGGGACAAAGTAACTAATATCGAGACTAAAATATAGGAATATTGAAAAGTAAAAAGTAAAGTAAAAAATAATTCCAAACACTAGATTTTTTTCTTGGCATTGTGCTATGCCTATAAATAAACAACAAAAATGTAAGAATGATTTTAACTTTGTTTATTGTTTTTATTTGGTTTACCTTTTTTTACAAAAGTTTTTTGTGATGATGCTAAATAATCCGGCTTCCGGTTATGTAACATAACTTACATTATTTATACTTCTTCTTCTGCTTTAAATTAACACACATTAAATTCTTATTCAAAGTTTCTTGCACAGCTTCTTAAAGTTGAGGTTTCAAGAAAAAAAATATAGATTCTTTAAAACCTATTTTATTTTCATGTATACATTCACCTGGTTAAAATCAACAAAAATTGAAAATCGGCTATGTGGAGTTTGGTGTACAGTCGGCAACAGAATAAATTACTTCCCACAAAATGAAAAATTCAATAACAAAAGATAAAAATATGAATCTGAAATTTACTAAATAAATCTTTCTTGGGTTCTAGGATTGGATTGTACTACAGTAGTAATAAAAATGCAACGTTTTAAATGTTATAAATAATTTTTAGACTTGAGACTAAGCGTATAATTTTGGAAAAATACTTTAAATGAATGGTGAACTTGTTCTGATGCTTGCTCAGAGAAGAATCCCAGTGGCTTATTTGTCATTTTAATGAAATCCTCAACATGGTTTATTACGGCGTGAATTTTTGGAGTAAATTTTGTGCCTGCTTTTCGAAATTTTCTTTCAAATTCAGAAATATAAATGACATAATTCGCATCCAAGCTATTGGAAAAGCAGCTGGACACTACTCTATGGGAAGTCCTGAGTACTTCTATATACTTATTTCCTAAAAACAAAAGTAGTACCTGAAATCATCGCAAGAGATCTTGAAATTTAATAAAATTAAAAACAACAAACTTAAACAGTACCTGAAACCAGTTCTTCTAAGATGGAAACATTTTTAATCAGTTTTCTTTACTATTTTCACCATCTGACTTGAAACCTCAACTTTAAGAAGCTGTGCTTGGCCTTGTATCATGGCCTTAACGAAAATCAGCGGTTAAACAATTGACATTTAAATGAAAAAAACAAGGAATGTTTCCGGTAGCTTAAAAGAAACTTTCAAAATGAAAATAAATTCCCAATTGGAAACTTTCCAAAACGGAAAGTTTCCTTAAAATGGAAACTTTCCGATTCCCATCTCTACATATTTTCATGTTTTATATTTTGCCCAAAAACCAATATTCTTATATTAATTTAAATATTTTATTAAAATAATCAATTAATAAAACAATCACATTATTCCATAAGCAGACTAGGGACCCCATTTTATTTTACCGCCCCGTCCCCCGACGAGTTTAGTCCGCCACTGCCACGCATGGATTTGTATTTTATTTTGGAATACAAAAAAAAGGACTGGACTGTGCAATTTTAGTGAATTACAATGCTTCATTGCTGGCCTTTTTTTTAATTATGTTAAAATCAATAGAAAGTTATATGTTAAAGTAACACTTTTTTGTGTAAAATAAATAAAATATAAATAAATTTAACATATTTAATTATGTTAAAGTTATACAGATTTTAAATCATATTAATTATTAGCAGGGGCGTAGCTACCGCGGTATCAGCCGCAGTCTGCTTTGGGTGATATTATCATAGGTTATATTAATATCAAATTAGAAATAATTATTAGCGTTACAATTATTTCAAATGACTTGCCTTTATTTTAAAATATAAACCTTTTAAAAGATGTTGAAGAACGGTAAATGTCTAATACCAGATCAAATTTTAAAATTTGCCTGTACACTGTTCACATGGGTGAATATATTGAAATGTCCCCCAAGTGAAAATGATTATTTTTTATTTTTGGTTGTTTCACTGTTAGTCTAGAATGGGTTTTTGGGAACACACCAGGTCTAGTAATAACATAACATAAGTGGTTCTGCATTAATGCAAGAATTTTAAGAAATCATACATTTTGAATATTAGAGCTTCACGGAAGATAGCTTCACGGATGTTAGGATTTCGTATGTTTTTTTAAACCTTTGTATATTTAAATTAAGTTATTGTATCTTTTGACACCTTAATATTTTTTAAAAATACAATTGTACATACATAAAATATTTATAAAAAATCTACTTACTGAGATATAATACTTCACGGTGGATAGGTTTTTAAATATCAAATTAATGAACTTAAACTTTTGAATTATAAAACAGCAACACTCTCATCTGCATATAAATTCTAAATGACCTTCAGAAATCACATGCATCTATAATGTCGTAAACAGAGGTTTTTGCTTATTTAAAATGATTAAAGCGCCATCCGTTGCATAAAATTTAAAGCAAAAGCAGATTTACGGAGGATAGAATCAATACATAAATGGTTAAAAAAAATATTTTTTTTAATTTTTAATAATATTTTATATTTGATTTGATTGCTTTGGATGTGTTTAATTTACTTAGTGAACTTATATTTTAAGTATGCTTTTACTACCTCAGATATTTGAAAACATATAGGTTAACCTAGAAAGAGTAACAGTCACGGAGGATGGGTTTTAGACTTTTAAAACATTGTAAAAAATAATCAATTGCTGTTAAACATCTGGAACCTGAGCTGTATATCTACTTAATTATGAAAGATCAAAACACAATAAAAGTGTAGGTGAAACTCATTTAGATTTATTAAATATCACGGGGTAACACCATCGGGGGACATTTCGTGAGATTCACTCACATATATTATTTATTAAATTATAAAAATTGGTAAATGCAAAAAAATGATACCCTAAACATTTTTTTGTCAGCACCTTTTCCGGTATAAGGGCCCCTACCAGATTTTTGATACGGGGCCCCCTCGAGGCTAGCTACGCCACTGATTATTAGTTTAGGTTAAAATAACCATTAAAAAAAATAAAATTGACACAAAAAGATTTGTTAAATGAACTTTGCAGTTATGTAAAAAAGATAACATAAATTAATTTTATTTTACACATTCTGTTGTGTTAAAAATTAACATAATTAATAAAAATAAAAAGAACTAAAAAATTTGAGTGGACTTTCACAAGAAATATGTTAAATATACATATAAATTTTTTACTGCATGTATATTATTGAATAAATAGACACATTACTATCCTATAAATTCTTAAATATATTTTAGAACTACGCACCTGCACAACTTACTATTCCCGTTCAGGAAGCATCTACAAAGACTTTTTCTCCATAAAAAATCCTCCGACAGAAAACGACACCCTCCTCCTCGATTTTCATTTTTCTGTTTTGGCGGCCAGCGATGCTCACATTCTATTAGCCGCCTCAGAATCCGTCTCTAGAACAGATCCGGTGTATGAGGTCGTAATAGGCGCTGGAGGAAATACTTTTTGTGACATAAGAAGACAACAAAAAGCTGCTGTCAAAAGTTCAATAAGAAGAAATGGTTTATTATCGGCCGTTGATGTTAAGACCTTTTGGTTACATATAACGAAGGGTACGTTAATATTTAAGTAGATAAAGAGCTTGATTTTTTAGTTAAAAAAATAGTAAGAGGTGATATTCTTTAAAATTTGTATGCAGTTATCGAGTAAAAATGCTAAGAGTAAACATGGAAATAGAGATATATTCGTTCGAAAAAAGGGAAACATTTTAAACCAGAACTTATTAACGAATTTAACATTCAATTTCTTAAAAAAATACAGAAAATTGTCTTTAAAGATGTACCAACTTTTATGGTTGCAACATCTCTTAAAATCTCATTTTAACTTAAAAAAACAATAAGAAGTTTCAGTTAAATACTGTGTTTTTTAAATTCAGAATTCTTGTTGGACCTCCTTTAATATTTTTTCTCAAACTATTTTTTGTAGATGGTATTATAGAAGTTGGAGTCGAAGGTGAAGAATTGCCTTTTATATCATGGATAGATGCAGATCCACTACCAATAACAGTATTCAGTTTTAGCACTTGGTCTGGGATAGAAGCCAAATGGTACTTTGATTGTCAAAGAGATCAGGATACAAATGAACGTTATGAGGTTTGTTTGTCTAAAATAGTTTGCCAAAATTCAAAAGTTTTGTTTTTTTTGTAGAGAATAAAGCACAAAATGACTTCTTTGGAAAAATTAAGGCAAGACCTTTTAAATCATTACGATCCCTACGTAAGGCCTGTGCAAAATCATTCATCATTTACTGATGTTAACATGTCTTTAAATACAAATTATGTTAATTTGGTAAGAATTAACACATTATCAAACTTTTTTTTTTTTAATTTTTATATTTTAGAATCCAAAGAAAGGGATTGTTGAAATTAAAGGGGAATCACAAGTGGTAAGTTACTTAAATTTAGTTTGCTTTAATTTTAAGGATTTTTATATTGATTTATTTTAGTCATGGGCTGATGAAAAATTGGTTTGGGATCCAATTAATTATGATGGCATTGAGGATTTACATATTTTTAGACGTGAAATATGGCAACCCGATATTGTTTTATACAAGTACGACATAATGTATCTATTTACTCGCTAAAAATTAATTAGTCAAAAATTACTAATTTAATAGTTATTAGTGGCTGCTTTTTCATTTGTACCATGGTTAACCATGAAATACCATCCCAAAATTTAACAGCCAATTTTTATGTAAAATGTCCCCTGAATCCGAAAATACCGTCAAAAATTATAAAAGTGGAGCAGTATAGTCAATTCCATATTAAATGGAAAATTGACTATATCTCAAAAACTGTTCTACTTTTTTAACTTTTGACGAAATTTTCGGATTCAAGGGACAATATTACATAAGAGATGGCTGTTAAATTTTGGTATTGCATGGTTAACATGGTACAAGTAAAAAAGCAGCCACTAATAACTATTAAATTAGTCATTTTTGACTAATTCATTTTTAGAGAGTAAGTATTTAATATTAAATTGCAAAATACCTAAAATACGTAACCAGATGCTTTGTTAAGTATAACTTATGTTTAAAAAGTATTGAGACATTTAAAATAACACAAAACTTTCCCTAGATCGAACCCATATGCACGGTCTGTCCCAAATCTGCGAGAACTGATTTTATTCCTCCAGTACTAAGCCGGTTTTGTTCTTGATTCCTAGATTATCCAAAATAAAAATTGTAGAGCTAGCTCATCCGGTTTATCACTCAGGAAAAAGAGTCACCATTATATTTTCCACTTAAATGTTTGCATCATACGTGATCGCCGAGAAGACCTTGACGTGCAAAAAATCAGAAAAGTTGAGATAATTTTATGAAAAGATATTTTTGGTTGTGCAAGATTTATCAAAGATATCTGTGGTATATCCAAAGGTACTGTCCATTTTATTTGAGTGGAAGGTTTGCAAGTGGTTTTATTTTGGCAAAAAAGGCGTAACATCCTCCGTATTCGCCATATTTACTTTCCTTCGACTTCTGTTTATTCCCAAAATTGAAATTGAAAAGCGCTGTATCGAATCAGAAAAAATTTATTTAACAGATTTGTATTATTAATTATAGAATAACTAAGACCTTTAATTTTTTTATCAGTTCTCGAGGATTTTGGGCAGACGATTTATGCTTAGTGTAAGCAGCTTTTACCAGATCTTTAAAAAAAATTAAGATTTATACCGACATCCCTTTTTGTGCCTTAGTCTCAGCTCTTTGGACATTTTATATGTTATTATAGGCTGGCCTTATATTCATTTTCATAACAAAGTTATACTCATATCTTATTGCCAGTTATGATGCTTTTCATAAATATTTAATTATTATTTGGCTCAGAAATCAAGTCAGCAGCAACAGTTGGCTCTTTTTGCAAAAAAAAACACTTTTTGGGGCACCAACAACATACTACCAGTTTCAAAAAATAGTTTACTACTTAAGGTGTGGTGCCCATATTGTTAGAACTGGCCAAATACCTCTTAACCGTGCTTTTCTTTCGAGCGTGCTAGACAAAAAAAGCAGATAGCTTATTTCGTGGGCCACGTACGTGGCTTACACACCACAATTATCCGGCACTGATGAGGTCTAATAAGAGGCTTTCTGTCGGTGCTTGTTAGTGTAGCACGAAACAAAATCACGGTGACGAGGTATTTTGCCAGTTCCCAACACATTACCAATTTATCATTTAAAACGGGTTGGTATGGCATGGGCCTACTTTAGCTAACTTTTTAACATGATTTGCCAGGACTATCTTCCTCAGCTTTTCGACGCTATCCTTATTAATTAATGTGGATGAACGCCCATATAGTGTTCGTAAAGTCTTTCAAATTTGGAACAGTATTCTGTTCCAAATTTGAAAGACTTTACGAACACTGCGGAATTTATGTGGCATTCGAACACACACGCTCTTGAGAACTTACCAAAGGCTTTACCACAGTATATTTTACATTTTTAGTATGGTTACAAAAAATGTATTGTCAATTTGATGACTAACAGATACTATAAATAAACTAAATAAATTGGACGCCTTTCTGCAGAAAGGAACCAACCCACAAAACCAAAAAAATCGAGATATTTAGCCTATGAACTAATTAATTATGTATAATTTATCTGCAAAATAGGTCATAGCCAAAATGCAAGTGTAGTGAAATCTATTAATCATTGAACCAACCAACATTCAATAATAGTGTGGATTACTAATACAGAATTAGAATCTGTAGAATATCTGCAAGTGGGTTGGATCTTTTTTGTAAAAAAGCAGGCTGGTAGACCCACTACCAAAGTCTTTAAAGATTTCCTGCTTCTGCAAAATATAAAGTCTTGATGCATTTTTTTGGTAGCTTACAAGATGAGGTGGGGTTGGAAGATGATGTGGACGAATTTCAAATAGAATCAAAATTAATTCATATTACCATTATAATAGTAATATCAGTTGTATTTTGTTTGGAAATAAATAATTGTCGCTTTTCTTTAAATACATACATACATCAGATAGTAGTTTTCATAAATTGCAGAAAGGAACCAACCAACAAAAGCCCATTTTTTTCGTCACCCTTACACATAACATCACAAAATCCACCTGATGAAATTATTAAATTATATCCCTTAAACCTCCGTAAGTCCAAAATCGGCATAAAATTAACAGGTAATTTTAAAATTATTAAAATCTTTGATAGCTTTTTTCTCAGTTTCATCATGGTATGGGTTGGTCCCATTCTGCAGAAAGCCGTCCAATTTGTCATGCCCATATTTAACAAAAACGCTTAATAAGGTGGTTTCAACTTCAACTTTCAAGATTAATAGTTTTTCTAACTTTAAGAATATTATAAACAAATATTGTTATAGTTTTTAAATGGATGTACACAACATTTTTTTATCCTGCAAACTTTTATACCATTTCCTGCTTAAAATACCCCATAGAGACCTATACAAAATAATCTATCGGGCGCTACCGGATTCAATAGGCACACCATAACTTTTACATTTTCCCTATTGAGACCGATAGCAATTAATGAAGGATATATAGGGATTTCCCTATTGAGCAACCATAAAACATTTGACAAAATTTTATTAAAACCTATGGGGTCCTATAGGGAAAAAACTAATTTCTACATTTATGTGTATTTTCCCCATTAAAACCAATAGCAAATAAATCAAGGGTGGATATCAGTATAGAACAACCATAAATCCCAACTATAGTTGGGTCCTATAAATACCGATACACCCTATAGAAACAGCATACATTCCGATACAAATATCTATCGGTTTGAACAGGGTCTCTATGGGGTATTTTAAGCAGGGTTACTATTATATCATTATATTTTTAGTTCTGTCGAAAATATGAGAAACATAATTGACGATACATTACTGGTAGTCAAATTCGATGGTATAGTCCAATGGAACGCTTCAATAACACTAAAAGCTTGGTGCGATGCCTATAACATGGATAATTGGCCCAGGGACTCCCACACTTGTAGTTTCATGATGGGATTTTTAACTGAATTCGACAAAATGACCCTGAGGTTTGACTATAACGCAAGCAAAATTGTAAGTATATTAAATTAGATTTCTAGAATTGTCTTTATTGTTTTTATATTTTAGGGTTATCTACCAAATTCGGAATGGACGATATCTTCAGTTGACGTTTTGACTCAAGTAGGGTGGGAGAAAAAACTCTTTGATCCTCCTGTTTTACAGTTAACGGTAGATTTAAAAAGAGCTAGTGAGGCTTATAACTGCATATTTTTTACACCATACATAAGTAACAAACTTTATTAAGATACGAATATTTTGCTTATATTATTTTACTTTTAGTTGTTGCAGTTTCTATATTATTAACATTTTGGTCTTCACCTTTTGGAACAATTAAAATATCGCTAGGATGTATGGAATTATTGATATCTTCCGTTATGCTTATTGTATTGGGACAAACTATACCTAGCCATTCCAAAAACGTGCCATTTTTAGGTAAAATAGTACATTATCTAACAGGCGGAGAAAGCGCTTATTTTAATAGACTTGTATTCACGCAACTTTTGTCTAATATAACCGATCTTGTAGCTCTTCAAATAAAAAGATACTTATGCATAGAAGGATACTTGGTGCACCCTGTATACAACACGGCGTAAAAAGCATATTAACTGCTTCGGTCAGATCTGCAGCCTCGGCTATAATATAACTTATATCTAATCTAATCTATATAGATATATGCATATGCTTTATACTTGTTGATTTTAGTCAATCAGATGCTTGCATTTTGACATATTTCTATTACAATATATTTTACCAAGCTGTAAGATTAATAAGTGGAAATCTATCTGGCTTGACAACTATAATAAAATAAAATTAAAAAAATTTTATTTCCTTTACAAAATTGTGTGATATGAGTATCTACTTTATTTAATTATTTAAGCCAAATTTTTCTAGGGTGCACTCTTAGAAAAGACCTGGTATTTGTAACTAACTTATTATCGCTGGGGTAAAACTGTTGCAGAAAATAAAAATTTTTGTTTTTTGTAATCAGTACCTTTATATGTGTAACTGCTTGCATCATTACCTGAAAAGATTTAGTTTTGTTGTTGAGTATTATTTACTGCAAAAAGGCGATTAAGTTATTTTAACTGAAACTTTGTGTTGGCTAGAAGTATTGACAACATTATCTAAAAAAAATCATTTCGGCAGTAAAATGTTTTTGTTGGACCAAATATTTAAGTAACATTCTCAACTGACTGAAATTAGTCCGTGGAACTAACGGTTCGGTTGTATAAACTATGCGTCACTTTTCACTCAGCTAAGACACCAGCGGTGTGAAACAATGTGTCAGTTGGGGATGTTGTCTCTGTAGGTTAATGCAACTGCAAACTTTGTGCATTTCGCGCGCGATTTGTCCAGCCCGGCGCGTGCTTTACTTTTAACCTGTAAACAAACGGTGTTGCACGGCGTCCAGACTTCGGTGGTGTTTGTTCTTTTGTATTTGTGTATCAGCTCGTGTGTAGTGTATATTTTAGGTAAGAAACTAGTTTATTACAATTAGTCATTTGCCCCTGTAAATTCAGTGGCGACATACTTTTTAACTATTCATGTATATAAGAATATATTCTTATGTGTTGGTTACTTATAGATATCTCGAACAAATAATATGGATGAGCGGACTGAAGTAGCAGATTTATTAGGAACATGGGGTTTACCTGAATTGGTTTCAGTTTTTAAAAGTTAGGTATTATTATTGCACTCCTTTAATTACACTATTGTAGTTTTGGGGTCCGAAAAAAAATCCAAAAATGTGAAAATGCCATTCCGACTGAAAATGGCCTCCTGAATCCAATGGTGTCCACCAAAAGTCTCCATCACGTCGGAATTTCGAGAATTTTTTTGTTTTGTTACAGCTTAAGTCGCATTTTTGGTATAGGGCCTATACTATAGGCACTCACACTCAAAATTTATCGAATTCTTACCCCTGTTATGTTGCAAGTATGTTACGTTGTACCTAAGAATCATTGTTAAGTTGTTAAACAAAGGCTTGCACTTCACGTAAACATCACGGTTTACTGAAGAAGTATAGTCAAATTTCATCTTAATGTACCTATCTGTGTATATTTACCAAAGAATCGTTTTTATTTTATTGTTAAAATATTTATAAATGTTTTCTTAGAGTAATTATTAATTTTTGTTATAATGTTTAAACCAAAATTTGGTGTTTTCAGTTATATTGTTATTTTTTAATTTATAATAAATATTTATAAAACGAACGGGCATGAATTTCCTTTCTCTATTTTTTATAATATTTACACAAAAAGTGTTATATTTACTAAGCAGGTATGTACAATTTGTTATTGCTACTAATGCAAGCATTTAATATTAAATATAACTTAGTTACAGTACAAAACAAATTTATATTATATCAACTATTAAATTCTTTAAATGTACCTTTTTTCATGTAATTTCAATTAAAAAATAAATTCCTGCATGATACAATGTTTGTTGCGATAAATAGCAAGTGCAGTTGTTACAACTTACACGCTGCTAAAATGACAGACTAATGTGATTGCATTAAATATCAATTATTTGTATGAAAAAAAAACTAATTTCGATGCACTTAAACTTGTTGGTTGGAGCTACCAATATTGGCTGTTCCGACAACAAACTGTAAAAACAAATTTGTATTAGTTCCCACAACATATTTTTTTGTTGTGCCTATTTTCACTAATAAAATTGGTTCTGGGAACTAAATTTTCATTGCAAATACCAGGTCTTTTCTAAGAGTGTGTGCTCTAAAAAACTTTTTTTGTTGTTTTTGTAATGTTACATTTTGGAAATTATATTAATTGGGTTTTCTTTAAACTTATATGGGGGGGTTAACAACTCTAAAATCATCGAGGCCAACGTTCGGCGTTATATGAACGTTGTACTCTGATTTTTCCTTATTCGACCCTTAAACAATGTAGCGCAAAAGTCATCACCAGATTTCCTAAGGCTATAATTTTTTTGCAAATGAAAAAAATCGATTTTGTTGTGAATAATTTTTTTCTGTTAAGTCGAGAAAATAATATTTTTTACAAAAGTAATCACTTGATTTCCTAAGGCTTCAACTTTTTTTTTAAATGACAAAAAATTCTGTTTATGAATAATGTTAAATTGGACGTTCACATTTTGCCCCGTTTAGTTTAGTGGATTCACATTTGGACGCGTTTTGGAGTTTTTTCATCACTTCTGTCAACCTCAAAGAAAGAAGTCTGGGGAGTCTGCAAATCACCGCGTCTATTGTTGATCGCCTGATTTAACTGCTCCAGACTTCTTTCCTTGGAAATATTTAGCCTTTATGTAATCGAGGTTAAGACCCTAAAGGCAACATTAAAGAAGAAATGGAAATATCATTCACTAAAGAATTAATGCTCTAAAGCGCGCCCAAATTTGCATCAACTCTGGCGGTGGCCACTTAACTTTTATTATGTTTACGATTTACAAGAAAAAATTTAAATGTACAAATAAACATTTTTCACAAACCCAACCGATTTTTGTGAAAATCCCACGTCCCTGTCCACATGCATTAATCAAATAATGGATTTTACGGTATACCTGAACCTGTTAAAAATGTACAGACTTTTCATAGCTATGGGGCATTTTACGCCAAATGGACAAAAAAAAATATCAAAGTTGTTCGATTTGGTTTACATTTGAGTATGGGTATCTATTATAGATACCCATACTCAAATGTAAACCAAATCGAACAACTTTGATATTTTTTATTGATAATCTATAGGTATATCATATACCGTATATTTACCTATAAATTATAGGCTATAATAGGTACCTACCAATCTTGCCAAACCCGAAAAGTCGTGGTCCTATAGGTCCAAAGGCCTTAGTAGTATACTCATATATATAATATATATATATATATTAGGGTGATTCATTTCCGCAAAAAACTTTTTTTTTCTCGGCGCTCAAGCAAAATATTAATCTACCTATAGAAAAAAAAAATTCACCAAGGTAGAGCTCTTAATATCAATTTTAAGTAATTGCAGTTTCAATTTAAAGTTTTCCCATTTAAAATGCATGTAAAAAAAATGTCTTTTTTTCACTATTTTTTGCGAATTGTTAAAAAAAATTCAAAAAAAAATGTTCATTCAAAAAATTGAACTTTGATTACTCCTACTGGCGAACCACTTCGAGTTACACAAAAAAACACAAAGACAATTTTGAAGAGCGTGAAATTCCCTATAAGGTCCATAAAACCGATTCACAATATTGTAAAGAGCGGGCGAGCATTAGAAATTTGAAAAAAAAAACATTTTTTTTTACATGCATTTTAAATGGGAAAACTTTAAATTTAAACTGCAAGTACTTAAAATTGATATTAAGAGCTCTACCTTGGTGAAAATATTTTTTTCTATAGGTAGATTAATATTTTGCTTGAGCACCGAAAAAAAAAATAAATTTGCGGAAATGAATCACCCTAATATACATTAGGGTGGTCCTTATTTAGGGTGTGTTCGAATTTTTCTTCACGATAGTCCTAAATAGGTTCCAAATATATAAAAAAAATAATGTGCCAAATTGCAGCTCTTAATTTTAAAATTAAGACGGCCCCCCCGACATCCAAAGTTTTAAATGGAAATAACATGGGAAAAGTTCTGTTATTACTTTGGATTTTTTTAAGTCATGAACTAATAAACGGATTATATAGAAGGATAAATATTCTTGTAACAAATTTAACGCTCTACAAAAAAGGTTTCTTGTGATTTTTTCCTAACTTGACTGGTTCAAAAGTTATTTGAGGTCAAAATCAAAGTTCTAGTTAATTCCATGGTTTTCCATTTTTATCGTGGTTTGATGATTCAAAAATGTAAAAAGGGTTATAATTTATATTCTAGATGACTTTTCTTATCTTGACGTTTGCTTTTTATTTTATAAATTTGTTGTTCCTTTGTTAAAAAATGTTGGGTTGGGTTGGTTGGTTTGTTTTAGTTTTATCGTAACATAACAAATCTTAAAATTATGACGTCACTCGGGACTAAACTTAAGTCCCGCCTCGGGACGGGAGCCACAGCAATGTTTTTATTAAGAAGTTTGAATTTAAAACTAGAGTTTATCAAAATTTTTACTAATTAAAATCAAAATCTTTTAACAATATCTATGTCCAAAATATCTTGCGTATCCCAAAATTTAAAAAATCCTTAAAAGTTACGACAGTGAAAAAATCGGAAAAAATAAAAAAACAATTGGTGTAACTAACTTTTTAGGGTCACGATTACACTGAAAGTTTTCTAAAAAATAGAACCATCTAAAATATAAATTATAACCCTTTTTACATTTTTGAATCATTAAACCACGTTGAAAATGGAAAAAAAAAACATAGAATTGACTAGAACTTCCATTTTGACCTCGAATAACTTTTGAACCAGTAGGGTTAGCAAAAAATCACAAGAAACCATTTTTGTAGAGCGTTAAATTTAATACAAGAATGTTTATCCTTCTATATAATCCATTTATTAGTTCATGACTTTAAAAAATCCAAAGTAATAACAGAACTTATGCCATGTTATTTCCATTTAAAACTTTGGCTGTCGGGGGGGCCGGCTTAATTTTAAAATTAAGATCTGCAATTTGGCACATTATTATTTTTATATATTTGGAACCTATTTAGGACTAACGTAAAGAAAAATTCGAACACACCCTAAATAAGGACCACCCTAATATACATATATATACGACGTGTATTCAGAAAATAACGGGAATTGTTAAATTTCGCGGGTTCGGAGGGTCCGGTTGTCATAAAATTTTCTTTATTATGTTGGTATACATGCCCCCGAAGTATGATAAAAACTTTAGCTGTTTTCATTGTTTACTTTGTCTGTGGCAGCCGCTAAAGTTAGACGTGTTTTATGAGCTCGGCGATTTTTCGTTCTTTAAAAGAAATGGATCAAAGAATTTGTATCCAATTTTGCTTAATAAATGAAATAAATTCTGTGAAATGTTAACAAAGGCCTATAGTGAGTCTGCTATAAGTAAAAGAAGAGTTTACAAGTGGTATAAGAGTTTCCAAGATGGCCGTGAAGACGTTGAAGATGACGAATGCCCCGAACGCACAAGCACATTAACAACCGATAAAAACATGGAAAAAGTGGAAGAAATGGTTATAAACCATCAGAGAAGTCGCTGATGATGTTGGTATATAGATTAGGTTATCCTATGAAATTTTTTCGAATGTTTTGGGTATGAAACGCGTGGCAACAAAATTTGTTCTAAAATTGTCTGTCTGACTTTTTCCTATTCCCAAAAATAAAGAGAACCTTAAAGGGCCGTCGTTTTGCAAGCATACACTCAGAGAAATACCATGTCATGAAAAGCATATGAAATGATATTAATTTAAATAATCGGGTAAATTTGATTCAAATAGAAAAAAATGTAGTTTTATATTCATTTACCAACAGTTTTACAATGTTTTTAAACACTTTTAAAGTGTACTCTCTTTAAAATATATATATAAAAAGAAATCTATTTATTTCATTGCCTTTCTCAACGTTATTTTAAAAATATATGTATTATACAATTGTTATACACCTTTTAATTTAATGAGAAACACCAATGACGCCAAAACATATTTGAATCCCTTTGAATTATTATCGTTTTGAATGATTCTACAACATTTTTTCTCTCAGTGTAGATGACATTAAAAGCGCATCGCTGAAATAACTAAAGGCTATCCCAAAGATTTTAGAGTTAAAGTTTTAGAAGTGTTTCAAGTATTGGAAGAAGAGGTGGGACATGTGCATAATATCCAATGGGGACTATTTTGAAACCAAAATAAATGGAAAATAATAATAATAATAAATAATTTGGCGTGAAATGCGTGAATAGTCAAAATTTAATACACAATTAAATTTTCTAATAAATATGTTAAATAAATTTAGTAACAGTTTTGAAAACATATGTATATACATTGGATGTAATGAATTAGCAAAAAATCTAGTTCATTTTTATCCTATTATGTATTTCATTGTAAATTTTTATTTTAGTGCAACTGTACAGTTTCAGTCTTCTTGGATCGGTGATATCAATACTTCTCTCAATTATTGTTATAAATTTATGCAGAAATAAACAATCGAAGTCTCTACCACATTTCGTTGTTTGGATGTTAACTTCCCGATTTATGAAGATATCATTTTGTTTGTGCATACCAACTAAAAAGGTAAAACATGCAAACCTGCCAATAGTATGGCACAGCGTTTAAGCATTTATAAAATAATTTTTTAATTTAAAATTGTATTGCTTTAAAATTGTCCTATCTAAAAACATTTAAGTATAAATTTAAAATATTTTTAACTATTCACTTCTGTATTAAACAATATTATTTTTAATACATTTTTGTAAAAATTTCCAACTATCATTTTTTAATAAAAATAATTTCTCAAGTATAATTTTTTTGGGCAGAATTTTGTAAATCTTAAATAAATATTTTATAAAATTATTTTTTGGTAAAGTTATTGTTTTTTAGTATTTAAAATCAGTATCGAGGCATTTCAAATAAAAACACATTTTGTACAAAATAGATTAAAAAATATTTTTTTTTAACTTTTTAAAAATTGTAGTTTTAATATTTTATTTTACAAAATTAACGGTTTAAATTTGTATATATTCATTTAAATGTTGTCAATAAATTTTTAATAAAAAAAAATTCACATTACATTTAAATGTAATAAAAATTTATCGACTATCATTTAAATGACTCTTGAAAAATTTAAACCCATAACTTATATTTTTAACAATTTTAAATTTATACATTTTTAACAAAAAAATATTCAAATTACAAGTCGATAATTTTTAATTCACAAAGTGCACACGCTGCTTTAAATGACTGCATATATGCATATGCTTAAAATTGACCACTTTGTAAGTTAAAAATTATCGACTTACATTTAAATGTAAAGTTAAAAATTTTGTGTTAAAAATGTAGCAATTTAAAATTGTTAAAAATATAAAATGTTGGTTTAAATTTGTAAAGAGTCATTTAAATGATAGTTAATAAATTTTAAATTTAAAAATTACCACTTTTGAATTTAAAACTTACATTTAAATGTAATGTGAGAATTTTTGTACTAAAAATGTATATATTTACAAATTTAAACCGATAATTTTATAGAATAAAATATTAAAACTAAAATTTTTTTAAATCAATATTTTTAAACTTTTTACCCTTTTTTGAGTTTAAAAAAAATTAACTTAAAAATTTCTGTTAAAAACATTATTAAAGTGCTAAACTTTAATCTTTAAACTATTATCTAATAAATGCTAAAACAGAGTGCCATAAAATATTTACTAATCATTTGCTTTTTTTGTTTAAATTATTTACAGTCAAATGATGAATACGACAAACTTCAAGGGTACAAAAACTCGAAGAACATTCAAGAGCTCTGGATTCTATTGGCTGTAACAATAGATCGCATATGTTTCCTGATTTATCTTCCAATTGTGATTTACTCTGTAGTTATAAACTATTTAAAATAAATGTCGGGCTAACCAATACCATACAGTAGTTAAACGTTGTTTTATTTGTATATCCTTGGTAACATTTTATTATTGATTTAACACCGGTAAGCACATGCAGTGGTTTTGTGATAATGGCTACTTTGGATTTATCTGATGATTTTAAAATAAGGTAAAAAAATAATAAACAAGAATTAAATGTTATAATAATTATAATATACAACAATATAAAATATTTTAGTTTAGACTCGATAGAAGAAGATACTGATGTTCCATGGTTCAGTTTAATTCAAAATTTATCTAACGAACAACTGGAGTTTTTGGAAAATAAATTTAAGCAGAAAAAAACACAATCAAAGGAAATAAATATAAATCAAGAAATAATTGACCAAGAAGGCTTAACAAAAGAAGAGTTTCTAGATGTAATATGCGAAATTTACAGTAAGTAAATAAAATATTTTATATTTTCTGATATACAAATTATATTTTAGATAATCATAATTATTCTGTTCAATCCTTAATCCTTTTTGAGAATATTTCAAAAGGTGAAAAGTTTAGAATAAAATGGAACGATTTTATAGACTTTTTAATTGCAAATCTGGAACCCACAAGTCCGGAAAAATTGAGACTTACTTTGATGCATATCGAACCAAGTCCACAAACAAAAGTAATTAATTACAAATACTTACTTAAAAAATCTTGTGATTTTTATTTATTAGCTTAATAAATTCATGTTTTAATTTAATTTATTAATTTTGTAGCAGTATTTAAATTTAAAATTTATTTCATTTATTTCGAAGAATAGATACAATATTTAAATAAACAATACCTATTTACAATTTAGTATATAATAATACGTGATATTAAATATCAATATACACATTAATTTTCCGGGAAGTACCTACGTAACCATAAATGGTTGTTTTGCATCTTTCCAAGAAACAAAATGTGTATTAAATATTAAGTATTGAAAAGAGAAATTTTAAATGAAAAGAGTTGACGTGCGTGTTTAGATGAAATAGAATGCAATTAAATAAATTAAGTTAAGTTAGGTGGTAAAAAAAGGAGAAAACAGGAAAAATATAAATAAAATCTCAGCAACATTCGAATAAAGCATTGCAGAAGTCTTTGTTTTGCAATAAGATGGCTTTAACATCTTTGTTTAAATTTATCAAGACTTTTCATATTCTTATTGCGGTGGGAACAGCTTTGTATAGTTTGAGAGCGAAATAGAAAATAGATATTTGCAGATGTTTTTTTATACAGGAATATAACCACATTATTATTTTCTACTCCTCTTGTGTAATATTTATTTGAAGTCTTAATTGTATTATTTCCTCACATCCATATTAGACATTGTAATTTATAGAGATTTTTAATATTAAACTTGCTTGCTTTGAAGTACAATTCACTTGTTGGGTACCGTTCATTCTTTTTTAATATAACTTTTAGAATGGGGTAGTTAAATTTTTTCTGACCTATACTTTTTATGGTTTTATTCAAGGCGTTTTGTAATATTAAACATTTCTGTGAAATCAGAATTTCAAATGAGTTTACCGTTTTCGAGATATTTACAAAAAATATACATTTTTATGACGTCACAAACCTCGCCATGTGACCAACATTCTAAGATTTCTATTGGTTGAAAATTACCCTGTTGTCAAGTTGTCTTGTTAATGATTTCATTCGGTTATGTCAGAAAATACCCGAAGAGGTTATGTACAAATACTGTCACTGTCAGTTGAGTGAAAGATGGTCACCAAATTCATTAAGTACCTATTTTCCTTATTACGAGGTATCATATTACTGTTTAGATTTTTGAGTCCAAGATATATCTAAAAGAATATAAAGAACTAGGCATTATACTAATGAAATGCATTTACGACAAAATATGATTATAATTATAGGTATTTACTTTATTTGTTTAAAAGCTCCAATGTTCAATGTAACCAACCATTCCACAAGATTCCTCTGCTTTGGAGTCCGTTATTAATAAATCACTTACAAAAAAAAACCGTCAATATATGAACGTGACTCATCGGGTGCCGAACATATCTCAGACATGCTAGCAGTAATGTTTTACTTGTCTTGTACATTCGATGCAGCGGTAAATGTACTCACACGTAGGTTTTTAAGCATCCGGTCTAAAATGCGCCATCTGTGATGTAAAACTGCCTAGGTGTTGGACAAAGATGGACATATGACGCTTGTGTCCTAGCTTGTTACTTAATTTTATTGGAAGTCAGTAGAGTTCGTGTTTTAGGAATTTATTTTATTTTATTACATAGTAAGGCAACCAACTTTACCGTCGGCCATTTGTTTTTATATGTCATATGATCTTTGTTTTTGCATATCTTGTTTCTACTGTGTGTTTACGGATTAATAATCGTTTTAAACGTTGTAGTGGCAGTGGTTTATATTATGTAACACAGGTAGATGTCGTATAAAAATCCTTACCTAGAAATTCTAGGCTAGAATACAAAAATATTTTTATTATACATATAAATTTTGTACTAGTATTAGTTTAATACATTCTGAAGAAGCTACTGTGTAGCGAAACAATTGTCAATATTTAATAAATTTCGTGAAACGAACGCAAGTTGTTTTTATATCCACACAATTTAAATATCTTTCACTTTGTACCTACCTGACCTGCGTAAACATTTTTGTTTTTTGTCACCAATTCTGAAATATTTGCGTTTACAGTTAAAAGAATAGTATATTCTGTAACAAGTTTGACGGTTTCACGAGAGGGGAATATGCAATTCCAAACGTGTTTCAGACTATACTAAGAATTTAATTGGAAGAAAGTGAGGTTGGGTCGGTCTAAAAATTTGTTATTAAAATCAGAGATGTCGCCACAAGTGTACGTTCTGTAATCAGATGATAGAATATTTCATTAAAGTTAAAAGAAAAGTTTATTTATTAATTAGTTTCTAAGAAAATTACAGTTTATTTAATTATCGTAGATGTTAATTATGTTAGATGTTAATTATTTAACTTTAAAAGCAAATATATCATAAGTATAGCAACCAACATTACACTCAAATTTTTTTACAAACGAGACTGCACTGGACCGTGACCTTCGATAGATTGCTTCTTACGAATGTGTCGGATGAGTCACGTTCATATATTGACGGTTTCTACTGTATCTAATATCAATTACAAATAACATAACAATAACATTGATTTTCAATAATCTAAATTAAAAAAGAAACGTCAAAAAATCAATTCTTCTTCTTCTTCTCAACTAAAATTTTAGATCAAGTAGTTTTAAAACTAAAATATTATAACGTGGCGCCATCTATCGTAAGAATCTTAAACTAAACACCATAGAAAAAGCTGGCAACGTAATTAGGAGACTTTTTTTTGTAAATATCTCGAAAACGGTAAACTTAATTAAAATTCCGATTTCACAAAGATGTTTAAAATTACAAAACGCCTTGAATAAAACCATAAAAAGTATAGGTCAGAAAAAATTTAACTACCCCATTGAATTGTTTGAAGAACTTTTAAAACATTGTTAAACGAACATCCCCAAACTGTGGCGGCTGGTTCTAAAGGGCACAAGGGCACGTGCCCACCCAACCGCCTCGATAAAAAGTAATAAAAGTTATTTGTTGCATTGTGCATTATTTTAGTTATACGTAACACCATTAATGCATTGTAATTACTATTTAAGGATGGTCTCAAACCTTCCTTCCGTCAAAAAAGTATTCCTAATAGTCTAACTAAGCTATTAGAATGTAAAAAAAATGGTAGGCTCTGGGTGGCGTCAGGTCACGCCAAGAAACTTCAACAAGTTGTCAAATGCTATAATAGCTTCTATTTGGAATTTAATTTTATTAAATAATCTTGTCGTATTTCTCAATTTTTTTAAATCTTTTAATGATGGTTTATGTTGATAAAGGTAAGAAAATTTATATTTACTTGGACAATTTGAAAATTTTGTTCATAACAAATATTGAGCCTATAATAATTTAATGCTTTTTTGAGGAATATTTGCGCATACATTACCCTAACTTTTGATGCCGGTTATTGCCTGCGGAAATTTTGTATTTTCTAGTTATATAAGATGTTTGGATAAACAAAAATTAAAACATAATTACCGAATATTACCGAATTTAGAAGTAATCCGTTGTCCTACTGTACTTTGCTTGACGACATACGACTATCAACACAGATCAAGCCGCTGGGTCTAGAAACTTGAAATTTAGCATAGGTATTTCTTATTTAATAAAGGCAAGTACAAAGACAAACTTTTTTTTAATTCCTCCCTCAGGGACCCCCCTGAGGGTGTTAATGTATGTTATTCATTTTGTCAACTTTATTGACCTCAATTGAAGCATTAAATTAAAACTATAATTTCATTTTTTGACATAGTCTTTTATCAAGTGCACTTTGAAAAGATTTTTTTAAATTACAATATACAGGGTAATTCAAAAAGACGTTGTGACATAGCATAACGATTCATGTTTTATCTTTTTTGTTTATATGGGTCATTCTTACAATAGGGGAAATTTTATGTCCCTGACTTGCCATGCTCAGTCAAGTGCATGTTCACAATTTTTTATTTTATATTTATTTAGGGGTTTATTGACCCTATTCAAACACCTATTAACTTAATAATAAAATAAAACCAATTCGATACATTTTCCCTTTAATTACATAAATTGTCATTAGCGTGGATGTCCCTGGATATCCTTTCACCAGAATATTTTTTTTTTGCAAATTAAGAAACTGTCCATAAATACTCTAGCAATAGTATATTATAGACAACACTTTTTAAGATATGTTAAGCGGGATTAAGGAAAAAAAATAAAAGTTAAATGAAAAAAAAAAACATTTCTTAAATGTGTCCCTGAGTTTGACATCATTAGCGTGGATTATAATGATACGTATTTAAAAATCGCGCCTACTTTAAATTTACCAGTTAGCGACCGTTATTATAAACATTTTGGTATACGCTATTTACTTGATTTGGCGCCAAACGCGAACAGTTGCACAGTGAACTATGAAGTGTGAAGTTGTTATGTGTTTCATTGGCGTATGTTTATAGTGCATCATTGGAGTGCTAGTGACAATTTTGTTTATCTAAAAGCTATTAGAAAAATATTGACAATAATTAATGAGCAGTGACAACTACAAAAGGTATGCATAATTTAAATTAAATTCATTAATCCATTTGCTGTCCAAAGAACATTAACCTTAATTTAGTCATTGGCGTGGATATTTACTTGCATCATTGGCGTGGACTTTTTTGTCCACGCTAATGACGGACTATCCACGCCAATGATATTTTGTATTGTACGAATAATGATAATAAGATATTTTTATCTAAAATCGGCAGTAAAGTAGTCAACAATCGACAGTAAAGTAAAAGAAATCGGCAGTAAAGTAGAACTTTAGTACCGATTTAATACAAGCATTGTATGCAAACCATTACTGCTCCTTAGCAGCAACTAAATAATATTTAGGTGGCCTAAATAAAATTACTACTATTCATTTTCTATCAGATAGCCCCAGCACTCAGTACAGAAATAAAAAGCTGTTCTATTTTTTGCAAAATATTTTTCCAAAGTTATTCCCTTATATAACTAAAATCTCCTGGAATTATTCTGAATCAGGTCATGGAAAAGGGGCACCTGATGGTATTGGAGCTGTAGTCAAAAGGTGTGCAGACCAACTAGTAGCACATAACCATGATATTAATACATTTGATGT